AGGAACTCATTAGCATAATAGGCCACACCCAACAGCAGGAACTCATTAGCATATTGGGCCACACCCCTGACAGCACAGCTCATTAGCACATTAGGCCGCACCCCCATGTTACCAGAAGTGTGGCCATCCAGCCACCCCCACCTTTTGCTTCTTATTCTGTTTACCTTGTTTGTTGTCAAAACCCAGGGCCTTTTTTTGTAGCAGGAACTCCTTTGCATGTTAGGGCACACACCCCTAATGTAGCCAATCCTAATGAGTTCCTGCTGTTGGGTGTGGCCTGTTATGCTAATGAGTTCCTGCTGGGCGTGGCCAACTTGGGAGCCAGCCGGAACTCCGTTCCTGCCCCAAAATAGCCCTGATCATACTATTTTTACCCCTTTCGTTTTTATTTTGGGCAGTCTCGTTTGAGTGTTAATAAAAGGCAGACCTGCATATTTCCCAATAAAACGATGTGTGTGATACTTGTTCATGGCCTGCAGCTCTCTGATGTGTATTCCGGTCTGGCGCTTGCGTTAAGCAAGTCTGGCCACTCCTGAGTTATATTAACGATGGAGGCCAGCGGCGCACACATCTCGGGCACCCACACAAGGAGATTCTTGCGGTGCCAGGGGGCCGTCAGCCGACTCCGTAGTGTTTGGCTCAACCCCCTCTTTGCTGAGGGCCACCTTTTCAAGGGCTGAGGGGGAGAAATCGGAGGTTTTATCCTCAGGGTGGAGCGAGCACTAGGAAACGACTCTCCTTCACTTCCCATCAGAAATGAACACACGTAGAGCTGCCTTCTGCTGGATCAGACCCTCGGTCCATCAAGGTCAGTATTGTCTACTCAGACTGGCAGCAGCTCTCCAGGGTCTCAGGCAGAGAGGTCTTTCACACCACCTACTGCCTGGTCCATTTAACTGGAGATGCTGGGGATTGAACCTGGGACCTCCTGTATGCCAAGCAGATGCTCTACCGTTGAGCCACAGCCCCTTCCAAAACACACACGAAGCTGCCTTCTGCTGGATCAGACCCTCAGTCTGTCAACGTCAATATTGTCTACTCAGACTGGCAGCAGCTCTCCAGGGTCTCAGGCAGAGAGGTCTTTCACACCACCTACTGCCTGGTCCATTTAACTGGAGATGCTGGGGATTGAACCTGGGACCTCCTGTATGCCAAGCAGATGCTCTACCGTTGAGCCACAGCCCCTTCCAAAACACACACGAAGCTGCCTTCTGCTGGATCAGACCCTCAGTCTGTCAACGTCAATATTGTCTACTCAGACTGGCAGCAGCTCTCCAGGGTCTCAGGCAGAGAGGTCTTTCACACCACCTACTGCCTGGTCCATTTAACTGGAGATGCTGGGGATTGAACCTGGGACCTCCTGTATGCCAAGCAGATGCTCTACCGTTGAGCCACAGCCCCTTCCAAAACACACACGAAGCTGCCTTCTGCTGGATCAGACCCTCAGTCTGTGAGGGGGAGAAATCGGAGGTTTTATCCTCGGGGTGGAGCGAGCACTAGGAGACGACTCTCCTTCACTTCCCGTCAGAAGTGAAAACACGTAAAGCTGCCCTCTGCTGGATCAGACCCTCGGTCCGTCAAGGTCAGTATTGTCTACTCAGACTGGCAGCAGCTCTCCAGGGTCTCAGGCGGAGGGAGGCCTTTCCCATCACCTCCTGCTACATCTCTTAACTGGAGATGCTGGGGATTGAACCTGGGACTTTCTGCATGCCAAGCAGATGCTCTACCGTTGAGCCACAGCCCCTTCCAAAACACACACGAAGCTGCCTAATACTGGATCAGACCCTTAGTCCATCAGGGTCAGTACTGTCTACTCAGACTGGCAGCAGCTCTCCAGGGTCTCAGGCGGAGGGAGGCCTTTCCCATCACCTCCTGCTACATCTCTTAACTGGAGATGCTGGGGATTGAACCTGGGACTTTCTGCATGCCAAGCAGATGCTCTACCACTGAGCCACAGCCCCTCCTTACAGCTCTCCAGGGTCACAGGCTGAGGTCTTTCACACCACCTCCTGCCTGGTCCTTTTAACTGGAGATGCTGGGGATTGAACCTGGGACCTTCTGCATGTCAAGCAGATGCTCTGCCACTGAGCCACAACTCCTCCCCACCTCGGTCTATCGAGATCAGGATTGTCTACTCAGATGGACAGCGGTTCTCCAGGGTCTCAGGTGAAGGTCTTTCTTATCACCTACTACATCGTCCTCTTTAGCTGGGGATGCTGGGGATTGAACCTGGGACCTTCTGCATGCCAAGTAGATGCTCTGCCACTGAGCCACAGCCCATCTCTACAGCTCTCCAGGGTCTCAGACAGAAGTCTTTCACACCACCTCCTGCCTGGTCCTTTTAACTGGAGATGCTGGGGATTGAACCTGGGACCTTCTGCATGCCAAGCAGATGCTCTGCCACTGAGCCAGAACTCCTCCCCACCTCGGTCTATCGAGGATTGTCTACTCAGATGGACGGCGGTTCTCCAGGGTCTCAGGTGAAGGTCTTTCTTATCACCTACTACATCGTCCTCTTTAGCTGGGGATGCCTGGGATTGAACCTGGGACCTTCTGCGTGCCAAATGGAGGATCTGCCACTGGGCCATGACACTGCAAGTGGAGTGAAGGGGCTGTCCCAAAATTCCCACTTGCCCCCTTCCAAATTCTCAATGCCACCCCCCCCGACTTGTAGACTGTCCCAGTTAAGAATCACTGCTTTGAGGGAACCAAGAAGCAGAACCTAGGAATTTGGGGGTGGGGTGGGGTATACAGACGAAGTTCTTAGCCAGGTACAAATGTTTCCTTCCTGCCAGAAATTTTGCTAGGGGAGGACTGGACTTGGCACAGGCAACCCTCCCCATGTTTCCTCTTCTACAGGGATACATTTTTAAGGTGGAATTTTGGCCCCCTTCCTAGCACCAGAGCAACCTTTTACGCATCTCTAGAGGGAAAACTGGCGGCCGGAAAAGAAAACTATTTACAATAAATCCGGAGCCCCTGATTTATTCCCCTCGTCCAGAAACCTCCCTCTTGCCCAAGCTTGGCAGTCCCTTTCGCCCAGGAGCTCTTCCCGGACACGGTCCTGTTTTGGCAGATCGTTAAGCAAGATTTACCCCCGGCCAGCTTTGCGCTTTTTCTGTGTTCCGGCCGGGCCGCTCGGCACCGCTTGCCAATAAAATTAAATGCAAACCCGGCCGCTGTTCCCAGTTCCGAAGTAATTTCTCTAAAGGGAGGCCAGTACCCGTACATAAATGAAAAATAAAAGCGGAAGCGCATCAGAAAATGCACGAGCTGGGAACAGGCCAAAGCTGGCAAAGGGCCGTGGCAAATTAAAGCCATGGGCTCCCTATCTTCCTCAGGAGACCGAACGTCCGGTTTGGATTAATCCCGGCGGGCTCTTTGCATTCCCAAGTGTACCGGACAGACGAAGGGATTCTGAGGTTTCTCTGGCTCCTTTAATGAACTCGGAGCCCTGAGATACTGGAATGGAATCTGAGATGCACACGCAGGAAAGAGTTTTGCAAGGAGCCGATTCCCCACTCCTTTCTGGGGGCCGGGATGAGGTAAGGCGCAAACACACTCTCCCTGCAACCAGCAAGGGACAAAAGGAAATACAGTTCAGCTAATCAAACCAAGGATTCGCTTTACACCGAGGGGCAGTGTTCCCTCTAAGCTGAGTCGGTGTGAGCTAGCTCGCAGTTTTTTAGCCTCCGACTCACACATTTTTGTCTTCACTCAAGGAAGGACGGCTCCAGTACAAACTAATTGATGTGGCAGCCACATTGCTTGCTTACAACTTTAGCGCCAGTAGCTCACTAAGTAGAATTTTTGCTCACAAGACTCCACAGCTTAGAGGGAGCATTGCAGCCAGTCTTCCCTCTAAGCTGAGTTAGTGTGAGCTAGCTCACAGTTTTTTAGCCTCTGGCTCACCCATTTTCATCTCAGCTCAGGAAGGGATGGGGCTCCAGAGCAAACTAATTTATGCAGCAGCCAAATCACTCACTCACAACTTTAATGCCAGTAGCTCACAGAGTAGACTTTTTGCTCACAAGACTCCACAGCTTAGAGGGAGCATTGCAGCCAGTCTTCCCTCTAAGTCGAGTTAGTGTGACCTAGCTCACAGTTCTTTAGCCTCCGACTCACACATTTTTGTCTTCGCTCAAGGAAGGACGGCTCCAGTGCAAACTAACTTATGTGGCAGCCAAATTGCTTGCTTACAACTTTAGCGCCAGTAGCTCACTAAGTAGAATTTTTGCTCACAAGACTCCACAGCATTGCCGAGGGGTTGTCAGCAACTGGGCACCCAGAAGCCAAAGTCAGTCCCCGAAGGGATACTCCCCCATTCCCTCCAGCCACCACCCCGGGCCAAAGAAAGGAGGGAAGGGGTAGCATCCAAAATAGCAGTATGTCACAGAGGGCGGACTGGCTACTTTGCAAGGTGGCCCCCGTGAGGCCATCTTCCCGAGCACGCTTCCAACGTGGCTATCTGGGGAACCTTCCTGTGTGCCAGAAAGCAGAACCTAAGACCCTGGCCGGTAGCTAACATGGGCTCCCCGGCCCCCTGGTGTTTCTTCTGGACTCCTTCCCTCCTGGGCTGCCCCCAAAGTGCTCCAACTTACCACCTGCACTGCCCTTCCATTTAATTAGCTGGTGGGGCCCCCGAGGCCCCCTCCAAAGAATTCCCTAGCTACGGGGCTGCTAAGACCCAAAATCAGATGGGGCAGGTTTTGAATGAGATGGGTCCGGGTTTCACAGACCGAATTCGGGTTCCCGGCAGTCACGCAGCAGTTGTGCGGAATGGCTGTTAAAAAACGGAAACGATACAAGCGATCACACAGTAAAGGCAAATTACAACAAAGGAACTGTGTCGAAGGGACGCTAAGGTAGCGAAGGCTAAATGAAGAACAAAAATTGCAATTCAAAATATATTATAACAAATTCAACAAGTATCACATTCAGCACAATACAACAGTTAAGTATAGCCAGGTAAATACGGTGTAACAAACAAACAAAGCAAATACAACAGGGAAGTTCAGTTCAACAATTCAACAGGTAAATTCAATAATTCAACAGGTAAGTTCAGTACAAGTAAGTTCAGTAACGAAGGCTCCGGACATTCAAAACTTCATTTTGATAGTCTTCTTCAGTAATAACTGATTATAATATTCCATAAGATAGATATTCATAAAGTTCCGAGGTACATATATCATCAAAAAGAATTTCCAAAGATTTAGAATACTATAAATCTACAAACGGGCAACCAGTCATCATATATTTAGGGAAAATGTCTCCAATTCACTTGGCTGCTGGTATGCCTCTAAAAACGAGCTATGATCCTAATTTACAGGTAACAAGGAACAGCTGTTGAATTACTGAATTTACCTGTTGAATTGTTGAACTGATCTGCTGAATTGTTGTATTTGCTTTGCGTGCTTGTTATACCGTATTTACCTGACCATACTTACCTGCTGTATTGTGAGCGAGATACTGTATTGTGAGCGATATCCCATTCACTGTATTGTGAATGGGATACTTGTTGAATTTGCCGAGGTACATATATCATCAAAAAGAATTTCCAAAGATTTAGAATACTATAAATCTACAAACGGGCAACCAGTCATCATATATTTAGGGAAAATGTCTCCAATTCACTTGGCTGCTGGTATGCCTCTAAAAACGAGCTATGATCCTAATTTATAGGTAACAAGGAACAGCTGTTGAATTACTGAATTTACCTGTTGAATTGTTGAACTGATCTGCTGAATTGTTGTATTTGCTTTGCGTGCTTGTTATACCGTATTTACCTGACCATACTTACCTGCCGTATTGTGCTGAATGGGATACTTGTTGAATTTGTTATAATATATTCTGAATTTCAAATTTTGTTCTTCGTTTAGCCTTCGCCACCTTAGCGTCCCTTCTACACAGTTCCTTTGTTGTAATTTGTTAGAAAAACAGACCCATTTTCCTGTGGTGATCTAGCACGTGCGGTGGCGTTCCCCCATTTTTTGCTGCTCCGCGTTCACAGAGTATTCCAGGTGGAACAGCAAAAATGGGAAAACGACTCCCTCCCAGAGTTATTTCGCCACGGGAAATGGCTTGGGGGGGGTCACCACGGAGACTTGCAGCTATACTGTATAGCCGCTAGTTCCTTGTGGCAACTCATAAGTAAAACCCTGTGTTCTAAGCCTGTTTGGGCTCCCCTTTATTTTTAGAAAAATCCAATTTCTGCAGCTGCTGTCTGGGTTCGGGGACCTGGAGCCAGCTGTTTGAAACCCTACGTGTCTAGTTTGGCCCTTAGGTGCAGAAAGGAAACAGATCTCTATCTCGGAAGGGTTCAGCTTCTGAATGGTCAGTTCTCCGACAGAGAAGAAAAAGGGCTTTTGTGTGTAGGATGTCTCCTGTGGGAGACAGAGAGACGGAATTAAACAGTACAACCGTGCTGGCAGTTCTCTGTCGGTCAGCCCTGAAATTACTGACGGACACTAACCTCCCCCAAAACGAGCTTCTGTTTCACCGGAAGTACCATTATCAAGGGAGGTTACAGCAACAGTTGACTGTTGCTTCGCCTGGGAAGCTTGTAAAAGCATCATAGCCCCCCTCCCAGTACTGCACAGTTGAGGGATGCCTGGGAAGCCACAAGGGTTAAAGACTAACTCACGTCTGTAGTACGGAGCCTAAGGAGATGTTACAAACTGCCCAAGTTCATCACGGGGACTTGCAGCTATCCTGTAGCCGCTAGTTCCTTGTGGCAAGGCTTCCGATCAAGACAACTGCACGGGAGGAGGAGGAATTCCTGCCTTCCCTCCCGTGCTGTTTTTGGCAGCTAAGAACATAAGAACATAAGAGACGCCAATGTTGGATCAGGCCAAAGTCCCATCCCATCCAACACTCTGTGTCACATAGTGGCCAGAAATACCAGTGCCATCAGGAGGTCCACCAGTGGGGCCAGGACATTAGAAGCCCTCCCACTGTTGCCCCCCCCCCAAGCACCAAGAATACAGAGCATCCCTTGCCCCAGACTGAGAGTTCCTATCTATACCTTGTGGCTCATAGCCACTGATGGACCTCTGCTCGATATAAGAACATAAGAGAAGCCAATGTTGGATCAGGCCAAAGGCCCATCCCGTCCAAGACTCTGTGTCATACAGTGGCCAGAAATACCAGGGGCCATCAGGAGGTCCAGCTGTGGGGCCAGGACACTAGAAGCCCTCCCACTGTCCTCCTCCCCCCAAGCACCAAGAAGATAGAGCATCCCTTGCCCCAGAGTCCCTATCTATACCTTGTGGCTGATAGCCACTGATGGACCTCTGCTCCATATGCTTATCTAATTCCCTTTTGAAGCCGTCCATGAAACAGCCCAGGGGTCACAGAGGGAAGCAGCACTTGTTCTGCGGGAGCCAGCATGTGTCCTGAATGCTTTTCACAAGCAGGCTCCCTACGGAGCAAGTAACGCTCCTCCCTACAAACCCTGGACTGTTTCAGCTACGGAAAACAGCACAGGGGAGAGGGCAGGAATTCTTCCTCACTAAGTAGCCATTGGCAAGCCTATCAACCTCGGCCCATTCACCAGGGATGCATGACGCACCTTTCAGAGCTGTTGTCAAGATTACTGAGGCAATGCATAAACATATCTGTGCGGATGTGTTAGGGATACAAGTCCAACTCTCCAGTCACTCATCCCCCCCGCTGAGAATTCCCAGTGACTTCTAAGGGAACCTCGCCTGACAGGTCCAAGCGGCGGAATGTCCTAACTCAAACCGAAAGAACACCCATGTCTCTGGTTCCCAGGGGGATGGCATCAGGGATATTTTGCTCCGCTCATCTGTAAGCGCTCTCCCCCCCCCCCCCCCCCCCCCCCTTGTCCCCCCCCCCCCCCCCCCCAGCCCTCCTATATATCAAAGACATGACTTCGGGAAGAAAATTGGCTACATCCACGGGAAAACCTAGCACGTTGCCCAGAAGAGAAAGATAATTTATTTCCCTTCCCCTCCAGTGTGAAGGACTTTGGACCCGCATTTCATTAAGAGAAAAAGAGGCCCTTACCAGAAAGTGAGTAATCGGTGTTTGTCATCCGCATGGCGGGCGTGTACGAGACGCTCGGCATGTCGTGGCCTTTCTCCTTCTGCTTCCGCCGATACCACACAAACAGTGCCAGCAAGACCATAATAATTAGGAGGAGGAGAATAATCCCGATGATTGCTCCGACCGAATGCCTCTCGGCTCCAAGCGCAGGGCTAATTTTAGTGTAGGGGTTTAATTCTTCCATCATGAGGGCCGCTGTTAAAAATAAGTCACAATGCGCCCGTTAAAGTTGAGTGGCATTTTGCAAAAAAAACCCCAAAGCTTAGAGAGATATATATAATTCCTTCTCCCTCCCTGGCACTTTTGAATGACGGGGACTGCATCGCTGTTCAAACCTCCGGGCATGTTTGATGCCCAGAACATGTCAACCCCTGTGCATATTGGCCTGGACCAGGTCAGCCTGGTCCCGTCTACTGATCTGTTGTGGGGGGCACTGGCTCAACTTCCTCACTCGCAAAGGAGTTCCAACTCACTTCAAAAGCGTGGTCAGATCCACCCTCCCCTAAGCAAGATGGCTGGACGGCAGTTCATTCCCAATTCAGAACACTGGGCCTCCAGGGCTGAATAGGGATGCTAGGTTTCTTATCTCACTACAGATGCTAATTTCCTGCGTTTCTCCCCTGTTGTAATCAAACTGATTGCATTTTGTATAGTACCTCTGCATCCTGACTGCCTTCTTTGCCACACCCCCTCTTACCTTCTGACTGGGATAGAAGGACTCAGGGGTCTCCATTCCTACTAATATCTGATGAAGGGGGCTTTGACTCTTAAAAGCTCATACCCCCCCCCCCAAAAAAAAATCTCGCAGGTCTTTAAATTGCTACTGGACTCGAATCTAATGATTCTACCTGCAGAACAATATCGCTGCCCTCTAGAGTTCCCTCTAAGCTGAGTTAGTGTGAGCTAGCTCACCATTCTTTAGCCTCCAGTTCACACTTTTTTGTCTTAACTTGGGAAGGAGGGCTCCAGAGAAAAGTAATTTATGCAGCAGCCAGATCGCTCACTCACAATTTTAATGACAGTAGCTCACAAAGTAGAATTTTTTGCTCACAAGAACTCAACAGCTTAGAGGGAGCATTGGCACTACCTCTGCTAGAGATTCGCTGCAAGAGCTAACACCTCCCGCCGGCATGAATGGGAAAGCTCCTACAACTGGAGAAGCATCACGTGTGCTTTGGGGCATGTAATAAGCTCTGGAGTGGACCACTTGTTCTGGAACAGGAACCAGGGGTCATTTCCTGCAGGAGCGCACAGGAGCGGAGCTCCGGCAGTTAAGAGCCCAGGGGGCGGGCACATGCAACAAGCCCCACCCCCTGCTCCCAGCAGCCCTCAGTCAGAGCAACAAGCAGCCAGGTAAGTTGCAGAGCTCCCCCCAGCCCCCTGGTCCAAAACAGGCCAGTGGCACCTTTAAGACCAAGTTTTATTCAGGCACAAGCTCTCCCTCCTCTGCGAGGACAGATCTGCACGTTCCCCCCTCCCCCAATAGCTAGCAATCCAAAACAGCCCAGTGGAGCCTGAGCGGTGGGTGTTGCCTTCTGACACACTTCCGGTGATGTCAGGGGGTGTGGCATATGCAAATAAGTTATGCTAATCAGTTATGCTAATGAGCTCCTGCACCTCTTTTTCTACGAAATGACCCCTGACAGGAACTGCCTAGTCTCGCCACAACTTGTGATGGGTTTAGTCTGTTCATCCACAGACACGCCCTGCCGGCAAAGACCAGCTGAGCGACACAGGTGCAGGAACTTGAGAATTTCAGCATCCATGTTTTCTGTTGCCCCAGAACTAACAGGTTAAAATTAAATCAGAAGAGTTTTCGGCCAAACGTTAGGAAGAACTTCCTGACTGTTAGAGCAGTTCCTCAGCGGAACAGGCTTCCTCGGGAGGTGGCGGGCTCTCATTCTTTGGAGGG